GCACGGCGGCGCGAGCCGCTCCTTGGGGCGGGAGCCGCTTCCTCACCGCCACCTGCATTAAGACTGAGTTCCTCACGACGCTTCATCCCACGTGAAATGCTCAAGTATCAAGTATCCTCTATTTATTTGCACGATTTATGTTCATGCAAGAATATTCATCCGTGCAAGTGATGTTGATAGCCCAAATGCACAAACCTCCAAGCCTGCAAAAAGGATTGATATGTGTTCTGATGTTTTTTTCGAGTTTTTTCTAGTATGTTTCGCGTTTTTTCTAGGTGTGCTTTACAAGCATCAGGAGCAGCAGAAAGGTCAGGGGACGAAGCAGCTAAGCCAGCGGGAGGGAGAGAGCGAGACAGTGACAAAGGGAGGAAGCAGAAATGGTCTCCCACTTAACGACGGAGAAGGAGCAGTGAGGAAAGTGGAGAGAGGCACTATAATAGGGACTTCTTTGCGGTTGTCTTCCGGCTTCGAGTCTCTTAGGAGTTCTTCGGCTTTCCTCCTCAAAATTTTACCCTTGGGTGGCTCATAAACGCATGCACCGTTGGAATGGCACCTTCCGCCTCTAAATTTATACCCTCGGGTTCACAAAAGGTATGCACCGGTGGAATGGCTCGTTCCTTCTCTTAATTGTGCCCTCGCTTGGCTCATAAAACGTGTGCACCGTTGGATTGGCACCTTCCTCCGTTAATTTTGGCTTTAAAGTGGCACAGAAAAGGTTTGCGCTGTTGGACTGACACCTTCCTCCTCTAAACTTGACGGGCAGCGTTGGAAGCTGGCCACTTGCAGCAGCACAGGGTCTCTACTGCAACCAGCGTAGTATTGGAAGCTGGCCGCTTGCAGCAACACGCGCTCGGTAGACCCTGGCCACGGCAAGCAGAGCAGCAAGCTGCGCAGTAAACAAAGCCACGTTTTGCAGCAGCACTTGCAGCGTTTCAAGCTGCCTATTTGCAATTGCAAAAGCAGAAGCAAGAGCAAGTGCAAAAGCACCAGCAAAGGTCGAAGCAGGAGCAAAGGCAAGAGCAGAAGCAAAAAGCAAAAGCAGAAGCAAAGAGCAAAAGCAGAAGCAAAAAGCAAAAGCAGAAAAGACCAGGTGACCACGATTAAAAAAACAACAAAGAATTAATAAATAATCCCAGAGAAATACCGGTTCCTCCCATCCAAGGTGATACATATCACCACCCTTTTAAGGCTCGTCACACCTTCCCATCTTAATTCCAACGTGTGCTGGTTGGGCAAAACAAGGCCAGATTCTGAAGAAATGACTTTCCGAAGTCTCCTTTTGCCACTCTCGGAAGGCAATGATTCGCCATGTTTGTTGCTGTTTTTGGTGGGTCTCCACCCCAGTCTGACAGCCCTCAAGCGAGGCTACAAGCACATAGAATCTTCGCCCTGTTGGCTTGAATGGTTCTCCCGTTTGTCTCGATGCCATGTCAAATCCATCTGTGCCCCTCCCAAGCCGGAAGTTAAAGAGTAACATCTACTAATGGACACCCCTTAACATCCAGTTGGGTGGTTCACAAACACCCCAGTAGGATTTCCTAGTATTGGATCTATTGGTCATGTTATACTACAATAGCTCTAATAGTAGGTCTTCCCTTGTCAAGACCAAACCCACCTCACCTGTGCTTCATTCAGCGCCCCGTGCTGCGACCGGTGGGCGGGCGGATCTCTGAGCCGTGGCGATCCGGATCGCAGCTGAAATCCGAACCATCAAACTACCAACGGGTCACCGGCCAGGGCGACCCGTTGCTTAGTGGTATGAAGGAATGGGAATGAGTTTGTCCTTTTTACCAGAGGTGTCTCCCTGCTACGAGGCACAAACACATTTAGCTACATTATATACATATATATATATATATGTATATACACACAATATACATAAGTATGTATGTGATTGTATGTGTCTATATACAAATACCTCAAACAAATGGAAGCTCATTCTCGAAATGCTCGTCCCCCATGAACTTGAGATTATATTTTGACACCATTCCCTTGTCTGTTCCTCAAAGGTTTCTTCTGCTTTTGTTGAGACACACAAACACAAAAAAAAACAAAACGACCGTGTTGGAGGAACCCTGAATGTCCCCACTCAATGTGTTTCTCCGCGCCATGGGCCCTTCACATCCAAAAAAAAGAAGGTCTTCTTACAAGGACGTTGCTATTTGGGCGGCCTTGGATCTTCAACTCGCAGTAACTACAGGCGCTTCCTCCCTTCGCGAGCCTGCGGATGCCTTCGCGGGCCATTTTTGTTGGCGGCATTCTCTGTCTTTCACCCACTCGGGCAGGTGCTGGGGATGTCTGCGCCAGATGCCGCCTGATGCCCTCCTTTTTGGGGTCCTACATGGGGAGTCAGAGTGGTGAAATCTAGATGAGTCCCCACGAAAATGTCAAAAAATCTTGCCCAAATGCCCTGGAACATCTCCAGCTACCTCCGACGTTTCTCATTAGTCTGTTGCGCACACGCCGCCACGCTCTTGGACTCTCCTCATCTACAGTGCCAGATGGTTCCCAAGGAAGCCCTTCTGTAGGACCCCAAACTCCAATGGTACATACAATCTGTCTGAAAGGTGTGGAACCCTGTGCCTGTGTTCTTTGACCAGCAAGGCTAACTTAACTAAGGCCTGGAGATGCAAAAGGATTCTGGAGAATGGGGGTTAATATAGTTCATTAATTGATCAAGAGTTTACATCCAAAAATTCTTCTCTTGAGCACTGTTTCCACGGTCCAAGCGCCTTCGCCGTCCTCATCCTTCTTGGACAAAGTGCCGTGCTCTGAACGAAAAACGCCCGCGCGTGAGGCCAGGAATCGAACTCGCTGTTCGGAAGAGACGTGGCGTGGTAGGCCTTCACCATTGAGAAGAAGTGTTCTCTTCAAGATCTCAAAAGCCTGGTATGTGTTAGTCCAGAGGGATTTCAGTTTGCTAGTAGACACCGGAGTTCGTTGGCTGAACCCGTCAGGGTCTAAATCTGCAGCCATCTGCGACCGATTGAAATCAGGAGTGCCCTCCCATCACGGGAGTTGCACAAGAAATGCATGGGTCAAAGAATCATGCCTGGTCAAAGCCTTGGCCTTGGGTTTTTGTTACGGAAGCAAAAGGCAGCTCGAGGGAAATCCTAGATCACAAGAGGCGTAACTTTGGGGTTGTGTCAAGAATGAACGATCCTTCGGTGACTCGCCCATCAAAAGAAGCTCTTCAAACATTCGGCACCATGTGCTTCGTCGAGCTTGGCCGAGTTTGGTACGGATTCTTAGCAACAGAGTTGCTGTTGGTCTCCGGCGACTCATCCACCAAACGAACCACGTGATCGAAGAGTCACCGTCTGTCGCATCAAACCTGTCGCCATCTCGGGCAGCTTGCTTCTTTGGATACGACCTCTTTGCTCAAAGACATGCAGACCCTTTTCTCTCGAACCAGTCGGCACTGGGCCGACCATTTTCCCTCAAACCCGACCGTCGCATTGACCGAGCCGTCCCTTTGGGAACGGCCAGTGGTAACCCAAGAAACATGTGGAACCCAGTGGAAGCCTCTGCTTCTAAAGATTTCAGTCGTCTTCCTTTCAGGGTCATAGGGCCATAATCTTCCTTCCGCGTGCTTCCGTGATTGTTGGAGGGTTTTTGGACGTAGTTACACTGTGGAAGGGTATCTACATGGAAGGGGTCATGGTCTTCCATCACATGGAAGGGTATCTACACAGTGCCATTCTTTGCCATGCAAGTCTTTGACTCCATGAAGCTTCCCGTCACTTGTGCGGGCCTTGACATTGCTGGACTGGTAACGCCAGCCTAGTGCGTTCCTGGGTTGGCTGGTGCTTTTGCACTCAACCGATGCTGCACTAAAACAGGAAGAGCGATCTGAGTATGGCGGACAGCCATAGATTAGTGAGTGCGTGGGCCTCTTTGTCTGTGGAGGCCCCCATGAATCCTTGAGCTATATACAGATGTGTCTGAACTGTGTATATATATATATATACTTGTTGTCTGTTCCTCTTTCTAAGCCAAATTCTCAAACTCAAAACTTGACTCAAAACAACGATCTTCAAAATATGACGTCTGACAAAGCACGCCATGTTTCACAAGCGCAAGCTCCTACAAAACATAGATGGATCACTGAAGGCCAAACAAGATCTGCTATGCAATAATTCGAAAATTAAACGACGAACACCTGGATGCTGAGAACGCTAGACTTCAGAAAGGCGCAAAGTTTCACAAGCTTCGTTTCCAAGTCAATTCAGTGGTGTGCGCAATGGCACCCACCCACCGCACCCTGAAAGATCCTCCATACAACAAACTCTTTAGTCGGGTGCCCTCCTAATCCGTCAAGTTCCTGAACTACATATGAATTTCTCTGAACAAAATATGACAAAGAAAAGGCCCACGCACTCCATCTTGAGACTGTCCATTTGACAGAGTTACAGTAATCTATAGTAATCTACATGTTTCATGCCGTTCCCTCTCGTATTTATATATACCTTTTATTTGGATGATGGTTCTTTTGGGGAAAAAAAAATTCTGGTAAGGTACCAAGTTGGATCTAATTTAGAAAGTGACCGGATCCTTCTGGTTTCCATGTAGACACCAAAAAAAATATTTATCATCAATCTCTGTCACGAAACCTTAGTCTCCTCATATCACTTCATATCTGCCACGCTCTCGAGCCAACCCATGGCGATTCCCATGAAAAATCGAAACTTCGGCATAGCTGCAGCGTCTGAGTTGACTCGTTCGGGTGTTCGGGGGAGTGACATCACGTCGTGAAGAGAACGGGTCGATGGATTCGTTGACTCGCGAGGCACCAGGCACGTGCCGCTCGATGGATCATTCGCACCAAACTGGAACTTGGGAGAATGATCATTTCGCCTGATGTTTCTTCTCAAAGGGACATCGGATGTGAAGGACCACTTTTCTTGCCTGTCTCCTGTTCGCCAAGTCAGACTAGACATGGGTAACCTCGACACAAACTGTCAGTACTGTATGTTGAACGTGTGACTCGACCTGAAGAGTGGGTCGTCGACCTCGGCATCTCCTGCAGCTCTGCATCACTCTCATCGCATCCGGCACAGTGCCGGCAGCAAGCTTTGTTGCGCCGGGACGCAGGCCTTGGCAGAGGGCAGGAGTCACGAAACCAAAAAGATCCAAGTCATCTGAGTCCACCAACACACTTTTGGTTCAAAAGTACTCAACAAAAGGAAACAGTTTCCAAGTGTTGTTGTATTCTTACACTCCAGTGTATAGCCTAATTACAAATACTGAAGCCTCCAAGACCATGCATCTGATTGACCCTAGCCATCCAGGTGTTGTTTGATCAAGTACAAATCACCTCGACATTCGGGCAGTCCTTGGCATGCTGTGCTGCGTGCGCCGCCTTCTCCGCACACAAGTGGGCAGCAAGTGCCTGCGAAAAAGTAATAATAACAATAACAAAGCAATGTGCCGTTCGCACAAGAAACCTCCGAAAAAGGAAAAGAATGCAGTTGCGAAAGAAAGCACTGGCCCTCCATCATTGAAGCCAGAAACAAAAGGTGCAAAACTCAATCAAAGCTCCCAGCGCAAAAAGAAAACAGCTCCAGCCCCACAGCCAAGAATAAAATGGAATCTCCCACCAATTCAAGCTAATTATACCTAACACACACACACACACACTCACACAAAAGAAAAAGACAGTTTGTCTCATAAAGGAAACAAACCAAATGAAAAAGAGAAGGACCACGTTTTTTCACGCTTCCTCTCCGCCTCTTGGGTCTCCGCGGGCAGCGACTCCACGATGGCGTGCCGCTGCTGGGGCGTCAACTGGGGCGTCTCGGACGGTGACACCGGTCTGTTGGTCTCCAAGAGTGGTGGAGACCCGTAGCATCTGGAGACTGGTGGAGACCCGGAGGGCCTAGACCCGTAGGCCGTCATGACTGGTCGGTGGAGACCCGGAAGAGCGCGGGCCGAAAGGTCCGAAAGCGCCGGAGAAGACTCCGAGTCCAGACACAGCAGCAGGTCACCAGTAGCGCCCAGCTGTGCCAGAGTTGGGCACTTGGGAAAGGTCACGTGTCTGATCATCGTGCCTTCTGAGCATCTGTGAGGGTTGCTTTTGACGGGGCCAGCGGCCAGCGGCCAGTCAACTAATACAATGATTCGGTTTCACTTGGGAAACAACTGTGTAGGGCGGGGCAGTACAGGGCCTCAGCATTGCTGTCCCTCTCTACTCCTGGCTGTCAAATGACCCCGAGTTGCTCCATGCTCGACTCCCCTCTATAGTCCCCAAATGAAAGATCGGGTCTCCCTAAGAGGACCACGAAATGTACGAAAGATCGAAATCGCTCGACGAAAACTGGATGGATCAGAATGGATCAGAATGGCGTCTACACCGGTGGATCAAAACTGGATCCTTATGTTCCTTATGGCTCGGTGAAGTGTCCCGTCCGTCTCCTTTCGACTGGTCACCGTCTCTTCTCGGCTCGGCGTCCGTCTCGGCTTCCGTCTCCGCCTCGCGGAGGATCTTCACGACAGCAGCCTGGCGGCAGGTGCGGTTCAAGAGGATGAGGCCAGTGAAAGCTCCTGCGAGCTCCTGGAGCCTCCTGACACTGTCATATCCCATGGAGCTCCTGGGGCACAATGTGAATCAAGGGAAGTCACCCGCCTCCTGTGCCTTTCGAGACTGGCTCATTTGGAGCACTCAAGATCTTGGATCCCACATGATCTCACAGAAACCACCTCTACTGATCCCTTGAGATCTTTCTTCACCTTAGTGACCTTCGTTCCCTTCGTCTTCACCAGGCATCCCCGGGCCCCCGGCCATGTCGGGTGCCGCCAGCACTTGGGCAGTGACGGCCTCCAACATGCGGATGCCCTGAGCGCGGGAGCGGCGGGAGCGGAAGATGCTCCTAGTAGCGATGCCCTTTGCTCCTAGTAGCGTCCTTGCTCCTAGTAGTGATGAAGGAGCTTAGGCCTCCAAAGGGATGACAAAATGGTTCGACCAAATGAACTGGTCGGAACTTGATATTCAAAGGATTCCAAGACAGTTTGAAGAGGATACACTTGTCTATCTTTTTGGAGCAAAGACATCCACAACCCAAAACGACCCGTAGAGTCCGTAGAGTGAACCGTTTGCGTTGATTTTTTGCTGGGAACGAGTTTGTCAGATTGGGAACGAAGAAAAACCACCTGGGATCAGGGAGGAGCTTGTCACAGTTCCACTTCCTGCACTTGGTGGATCAGATTCCTCGGGATTCTCCGAATCCCAATGGCTGTGGGTCATGGCACCCAGAGGCCCCCCAAGTCGTAGGTTGACCTCTCTCAGATCGTCTGATTCTGTTGATTTTCTCTGGTCCACTAAGGTCTCCGCAGCCATTTGACCGCCGTTGGACCAACTTCACCTTTTTGCCCTGTGTGCTGTCCTTCTGTCTTATCGACATCCCACTTCAGGGTCATCCCATAGTGCCAATGGCCTTGAAAAGAAAGTACTCACTCTATCAGCTTTAGAGCTCAGTACAGGTACTGTGACAGGTGGTAATAAACCTTCTATTTACATCTATTTACCTGGTGGGATTCTTCTATCATTTCCACCCAAATGGGTAGAGGAGAGCCTCTCCGGTGACGTGGCGCCTGCATCAGCTCTGCTCGCTTCTGCTCGCTTGCACTGTCCAGCAGCTCCCTGGGCGTTTGGGGCCCAAAATAGGATGCCAGGAATGCTGGGTGAAGACGAGTGATGGCCCAGCATGAGTGAAGATACCCCTGCCAGGTAGCCATGTAAAATGTCCTTTGTTTGGGGGAAAAAGATGCACATGACATAGGGTGACAGTCATCACGGCAGTCTACTATAGCTCTTCATTCTCCTGAGGATCCCGTGCGGGAGGTGTGACAAGAGCTGCCGCAAGCGGCTACCACCCGCCTGCGTGCCCAGCGGGCGGGCAGTCAATGAAACGTGTTCAACCCACTGAATGAATGCGGCAGTTATGGTATTCGCGATCCAAATGGACCCTCCTTGCATCGACATGATCCACCGATCTGGTATGAGCTCGTGAAACGAAACATCCACCGATCTGAGCGAACTCACGGCCCCCCCGAACTCACCTCTTGCTTCAGGTATTTTAGAAGCTCCTTGCGCGTTTCCTGGCGGTGGACTTGCTGTTTCATGGGGTGAGCGGCAGGAAAACTTGGAAGGTCTCGAAATTGAGCATCACAACAGCCAATAGCTTGAGCTAGGGCTAGGGGAGTAGTACTTTCACGTATCAATCGACTTAGAGTTTGCAAAAAGAGCGGCTATCCAGGGTTGCTCAAGCTTCTGCCGGGGGCAGCGTGTTTTGCTGGTTGGTTCGGATCAAAATGGATTTGGGAGTGCGTGTGTGGCTTTAGAAGCGATGGTGATGTTAAAAATGCTTAACATGCTGGAATGCTTCCTTAACATCGAGAGCATTATTCACGAAGGTAAATACATGTTTGGGGTGCACAGTTATATAGTTTATGTGTTTGGGGTCAACCCGCTCAAAGTAACAAAACCTGGTCCCATGCCACACATCAGTCAACTTTGTCTTGTTCCTATACTCAGCGGTGTAGGTGGCTTCAGTCGCAGAGCAACTCGAATATCCCTCAAGGAGAGAATATGATCTCCCCACCAAATGCAGTGTTTCGTGCTGGCTGCTAGCTGGTGCTGGCTGCAGATCCTTGGTTGATGTTTTGAGCTAGTTGCGCTGATTCAATGCAGCACATCAAAGGCAGCTCGCGTTTGACACAGACGGTGATCTGCATTCTGGTCCGAACGAAGAACCGGGGTCTACATCATCACCTCCAGCATCACCCCAAAAGCCCCAAGATCTCCCAACCCTCACACCCATCACATCCCCTAACGGTGGCTGCCCTGGACGGCATGGTTTTGGAACGAAAGGGCGGTTTCGGCCCACCTCCGGCATGGCGGAAAGGGCAGACCGTCGCTCCTCCGCAGACATGGCCTGGAGCTGGGAACATGTACCACAGGCACCGGTGGGTGTTGAGATGGTGTTGAGTGTGGAACAGGGTCCAAAAACGAAGTTTAGATATGTTTGTATAGTCGATGTTCCCATCTCTACCACAATTGGTCCCTTACAAATCTGACGACATGAACTCTATCAAAAGAACACGCGAAAGGGAGAAAGGGAGAATCCTAGGTTCAGGGTGATCTTTTGAAACCTTGATCAGGGGTTTGGCACCCAAATGAGGGAAATATCCAGACTGGTTTTGGCTTTGTTGCTTTGTTGCTCAAGTGTCGCCATGGACAAACTTCTTCAAAGGACAAAAACTGTCAGATCAGTATGATTGAAGTATTGAAGTAGATCAGTATGACACCCCAACCATTGGCTTTCGTCTCCTCTTCCTTATGCTTTGATCTGTCTTCGGATGCCGGACGACGTGAGTTCCACTTTCGTCAACACGTCACCACGTCACACGTCCGTCGCTGAGACCCAAGCTCTAAGCCGTCTCAGGATCGCCTCCAAGCCGACCGGCCACCGGCCAGGCCGCGCGAAACGAGGCACGAAAAGCGCGACGCGAAGCTCCCTGTTTGGGGAGCACAAGGGAGGAAGAAGGGGATGGAAGGATGTGAAGAGACCAGTCATTTGTGAGAAAGAAAGCAAGAAAGAAAGAACGCTTCAAGAGCGAGCGGGTGACAAATGCTATGCCATGTCGGTTCCTTCTCCAAGAAAGGGCCCCTAACCGACAACGCATTGCAGGCAAACCGTGAGTTCTTGCACAACAACCGTGGTGAGACAGTCACGCTTGGACGTTGGGGCATCCATGGGAAATGGTTCTCAAAACCGAAAAAGCAACATGAGCCGTGAATGAGGTGAAGCTCACCTGCGTGGATAAGAATGATGAAGGATGCAGCGCTTAGCTCTTCACATGGGCAAAATCACTCCACAACTTAGGTCATCGTCATCTGACTGGAAGCAAAGTCAAGAATCATGTCATCCATCCTACATCTCTTTTTGAGCGGCTTGTGTTCAGCACTATTATGTCATGTACCGCCCCTCGCCCGCCCTCGATAAAGGTGAAGGATCTCGTCTGCCCTGGGGGAGTGTTCCGCAGAAAGTCGTGGGACCCGGTTGGAGAGGGGATGAATTTCTGGTCTGGCCAAGTGCGTCCGACGCCAATTCTGTGGGACCCAAATCCACTCCTCCGTCTCTTCGGCTGGAAGTTCAATACGCCTGACTTGAACACAAGGCGTGTGAAAGCTTCTCTCGTAGCATCTCTGCATCTGCAAAAATGTGATAAAAACACGTCTTAGCAAACGGAGTGCAACACGTCTTGTTCTTGGAAGACCACATCCTTCTCACGAGTGGACGAAGAGACGCAAGCGACAGACCAGAAAAAAACGGACGAACGCTGTAGAGTGCTGCGTCGCGTCGTGTCCGGTTCCGCCACCTCGTGGGCATCGGCTTGTCCAAAGGCTCTGCGCCAGGCCACCGGAACAGCCAGCCTGGCACGCTCGGCTCGACGGCTTTGGACTGGTCGGGTGGTTTGGAGACCGAGTCTGAGGGAAGTGGTGGACTGCCAGGTGGGGTGTCCAAGGAGTCAAGTCGAAGACAAAGGGTTTCTAAGGACAGACCTGGATGAAATGTTGGTTGAGTAGTCATATGAACTACATGAGGTCAAGGAATGGGCCGCAAAAAATGAACCGGTGCAAACGAATGTGCATGGCAAGAAGCCTTCCACCTTTTCCACTGCCCGAGCAGGTGAAACATCCACTGCACACTCCGAGACCAAATGTCAGAGCGGGTGGGGGTCAGCTGGCGGAATATATTGTAAAACATGCCCAGGCTCAAGGTGCCTATCGAACTGAAACGATTCCTGATGAAGCTACAGTTCAACCCACAGCCATCCCCACATTCCAAAAACGGCCAAATCTTTTGAGTCCTGTACAGCTTTACAAAGATTGATGCGCCAAACACTTGAGGCCAAATCCTCAAAGCTTAGAAGCCCGGCTTTTAGAAGCCCTTCAAAGCGACGAAAGCAGAGAAGCTTCTAAGGAACATGGTCATTAAAACTGGTGTATTCAGGTGCAGATCTCCATAGGATCACTACACTTGCAGCACGGGTGGCTGCATGCTGGGTCCTTGAGTCCCTTGGTCCCTGTACTTAAATATAAAATGATGTCATCGACGCCAAAAAAAAAGCCTCTCTCCGTTTGGAGATGGCGGTGTTTGCTACTTGCGAACCTAGGGCTTGGGCTTAGCGAGCACCCGGAACAGGTGCACAAGGAGCACACCATGAGGTTACAAGATGCAAGTGGCGTTGGCAAATGAAAGATCTTCGCACTGAAGCGTCCACGAACAGTCTGCCTGTTCAGAATTGCGTCAAGAAATGATACATGTTACATGTATATTTGGGTTTGGACAATAGAGACCCCAAACCAATGGGTGTTGGTCAATCTTCACATATTCTAAGCTGAATCCCCTGTAAGCCAAGCATTCAACTACTTGCACGAAAAGGATGGAGCTGGCCTGGAGCTCTCTCCGCCCACAAATTGCTTCACTTGTGAATTAACCAACCAAGAAGCTGGTGTATTTCATGCGGCCAAACAACCACAGACCAGTCTTTTTCCTTTTTAAGTACAGTAAAGCAAAGGGATTCATGTCATGTTCCTTCTTATTTGTGACCTTCATGTTCACTGTCTTTGCGTGAACACCTTCCGTGTCGAAGATCTGCTCAAATCGACGCAGTTGAAAAGGCATAATCTGGAACTGAGATTCACACCATGCTGGGCCGAAAGTCGATATGGAGGGCATTGTGTCCTTTTTTGCGGGGCATGGTGGTCTGCCTATGAGCGACTGTGAATCAAAGACACAAGAATGCAAGACCAGAAACATGTCTTGTTTTTCTTTCGTGTATGAAGAATTGTTGAAACCAACAGAAGAAAGAAAGCTTGTAGGGCTAATGCAGCAGTCGCATCTTGACACACACACACACCCACCAGCTGAGCATCTGTCGTTGGTCTTTTGTGATCCCACATTTGACTTGAATACTTGATAAGACCATCCAAGGTCTGGCCAGAGAAACGGTGCGAATCATGCCTCCAAATACCTTCTGAACGGTGCACCACGGTGTGAGACCACTCTCACCGTTCTGATTTCTAGAAGGGGCGCTACTTACCTTGGCTCCGAAGCCGAAGGAAGCTCCTTCCTCAGGATCGTGTCACTTGCGTCACTTGCGTCACTTCGAGTCAAAGTTCAGCTCCTCAGCTTCCGGAGGGGCTCAGTTCCAACTTGCCCTTGCCGCCGTCCGAGGCCGTAAAGGTGCCGGAGATCTGAGCCACGTGCGCCTGAAAGACGCGCGTGGCGCGTGGCGCGTCGCGCGTCAGGCGGCCAGGACGAAACCAAAAGGCACGTTCGATCTGCCGGGGCCACGTGAGTCTGAGGAGAGAAGAGGAAAGAATAAGGTTATAGGCTATTATAGGCTATAGGCCATAGCGGCTATAGGCCAAGCTTCTCAGTTTCTCTCTTTTTTTTACATGCCGTCAGATGAAATCTCGGAAGGATTCGAAGCTCGACCCTTGCCCATCGCGATCTCTGAGATCTGTGGAATCTGGTCTGAACACTGAACTGAAGAAAAAGACACGTCCACTGCTACAAGGTGTGAGGTTAGGCGGCCAGGACTCGCCGTGGACGACCCCTACTGTTTCGGGTCGACCCGTCAAGTTGGACGATGGGTTTCTTGGTTGTCTTGGAACTGTAGGTTTGTCAAGCACCTACATTAGTGCTGAAAAGGTGCTGCGAGCCTCGAAGGTGTTCTCACTTGGTCTGAAAAGGATGTGTACATTGATATTTACGAAGAACTTCCAATTACAAAGGTACAGCAGAAAATGACAAGAGTCAGTCAAGCGAACTCTTGACACCTTGAAGTCGTGCTGTAACAAAACCCGATGTCTACGCACATCTGCTCCAGCCCCTGCCATCTCCAAGGCTCGGTAACACGGGCCCCATCCCATGCACCCCCTATCCGGAGACTTTCAGGCCTTGTAGAATACATGCCCTGCAAACGGTGGTCAACGGCCAAAGGCCCAAAGCACAATGGGCGAGAACTAGCAAAAGAAAATAGAATGAGGGATCACTGGTATAATCATGTTGTGTATACACTCTGATACACTGACATGGAAGTGGAAAATAGGCTCCGGGAAAACCATTTTGCTGGTGTTCCACGTCCATGTGATGCGTCCGCGCGAGCGTAAAAAGCTGTCCATTGAAAAGTTCTTGAAGCAAGAGCAAATTGGACGCCTATGTCACACTGAGGTGCTCCAGTGAGTGCTGCGTTTGTCTTCTGGTTGGAACTCCGTTGGAACGGCTTACAGCGACTGCTCAAGTCCATGAACTCCAGCCTCGCCTGTGACCTTGACGGAACCCCAGGGATGTGACTCGGTCCATATCACGCGATGATTCTCGGGGTTGAAGGACCTTAGCCGCCAGCCGGTCCAGTCAACCATCCTCCAGTGGATGTTCTTTTTGCACGTAAGGAGATTGATTGAAAACACAAGAGAAGAAAGCAACCAAAGATTAAAACCGAAAGAGCGAAGCAGATCCTCGAAGAGCAATGGAGTAGGCAGATGCAAAGGATGGAGGGAAAGCAAAGTGAAAGAAAGAGGCGAAGGAAGAAAACAATGAAGCAAGTTGGAAATGAACGGAAGCAACGAAACAAAAGGGAAGCCGTATAAGTCAGAGCCTAAAAAACACCGACAAGGAAAGCTCACAAGTAAGCGCCTCAAAGCAAGAGGCCGAAACGAACACGAGGGCAATCGAAGAAACCAAATCGACAGAAAGAGCCGGTCCAGAAGCCGAACAAATTGCATGTGCTTTTCTGAATCGGCTCGCTGAATCGGACTGCGTCTGTTTTGGCCACGCGCTCTCCGGGCGCGGGCCCGGGTGAAACGCCGGGCGACCTCTCAGAAGAGGAGCCTGACGCCAGCCGCAGAGAGCTACACTTGAAACGGTTTAGCAGCAGGCTGGGTGTCCGACGCCCAGCCGATGGATCCCCCTTCAAAAACCCGGAGGCATCTATCTTCGTCCTCCTCCTCATAGCCAATGGGTGGCCTTGGTTCGGGCGCCGAGTTCGCACGGACGTCTTTTTCACAGAGCTTGGGTTCGCCGATTCGCGCAATTCCGGCCCACGCTCCACTTCTGGATCCCTGAGACGCGTCGCGTCAGTAATCGATCGGCCCGAATTTCGCTGAGAGGCGCTGAGCCCGAGACTCGGCGCGCACTTCCATGCTCCAGACGGATTCTCCGTCTGATGCATCACCGGCAGCCCATTCCTGCTTCGGCGCTCAGCACGCGGCGCGATCACCGGCGGTTCTAAGAGGCGGGCAGGTGGAACCACGGTTTCACCCTGGAAGGACTGGGGCGCGCAACGCTCAGACCATCGTATTAGTGATATGCTTGGAACCGATTTTTCTCACGCCTCCTCCTCCAATTCACTCAGCTCGTCGTCGTCCGACTCGCCGTCGACGACCTCAGTTAGCCGAGGTTGAGGAGGCACTCCTAACAAGCAGACGATATCCGACTCTTCGGAATGGTATCTAACTGCGTTGCTTGATTTGCGCGCTTCGCGTGTCCAGCCTTGCAGCGCAAGGTGTTCCCCTACGCGCGGTTGCAATCCAGCGGTCCGAGCAGCACACCGCTCTCACCTCATTTTGCCGATGGGGTCGTCTGTTCTTTACTCCTTCGCTTGTCTTGAGTGATCTTTCACGTTTAAATGTGTCCGTTCTTTTCTCTCCCTCCCTCTCTCTCTCTCTCCCCCTCTCTCTCTCTCTCTATCTATCTATCTATCTCTCTCTCTCTCTCTCCTTTTCTCTATCTCTATCTCTCTCTCTCTCTATCTCTCTCTCTCTCTCTGTCCCTCTTTTTTTCTCTCTCTCTCTCTCTCTCTCCCTTCTCTCTCTCTCTCTCTCTCCCTCTCTCTCTCTCTCTCTCTCTGTGTCTCTTTCTCTTTCTCTCTTTGCACGTCTTTTGTCTTGGTTTGGTCGAGGTGCCGCAAGAACAGCGCGCGAAGTGGGTGAATGCCTGCTTGACACGCACGGCGTCCATTTCCTCGGCTGGTGCATGCATCGCTCTTCAATTCTCGTTGCTGCCTTAAACCTTGTATACTTTAAGGCGCCAGCAATCCAGGCACCGGGAAGAAAGAGGTTGAATGCAAAGAGTGCTTGATACAAAAGGCTCCAATCGGCAATCGAAATTCTTTATGCTATTTCTTTAACTAACCAACAAATCAGAACCACAATCAAGTGGAACGCATTGCGTTCGATCCAAAGGACTTTGTTCATGTTTTTCTTCTGCTCCTAACTGATATATTTGTTTCTTCTTTTCTTTATTGCGCTTGCTTTTCTTTTCTCTTTTCTTTCTCTTTGTTTTGCAATCTTTTGGTTTACGGTTGGTGCCTTTCTGGTTTGCTCTGTCTTCTTCTGTTCTTTCTCTCTGCTTTCCTTGCGTT